TGGAGAGCCCTCAGGCCACCCAGGGCCATTGAGGTGGGAGGAGAGGTTATTTAAGACATGAAGGCCAGTGTCAGCTTTTGATATCAAAATTATACTAGCTTTATTTTAAAAACTCCTTGTTTACATTTAGGAATATATTAAATTCATAGTTTTTATATTATTTAAATTGTTTATATAAAACTTCTTGGGCCTGACTTTTTTTGTTTTTGTTTTTGACTTTTTTAGGCTTTTAAATGTCTCCTTGACCTAGTTTTTTGTGTGTGTGTGTGTGTGTGTGACTTTTTTAGGCTTTTAAATGTCTCCTTGACCTAGTTTAGGTAATTTATAATTTTAAAAAATCTTCCCAATTATTTAATTTGCACAAATCATCTCTTTTAATTTATTTAATTTTTGTGGTTACTTTCCCCTTCTTACTCTTAACTGATGAGTTCACACTGTCCTCTGCCCCACTCCTCCCATTACTGGAAAAGCCGAGGGCCTGTGGGCTTATTAAAGGGCCGATCATCTTCCCGATTTTTTTCTGGCTAGTTCGAAGAGTTTGATGTTTGGCATCTTCATTTTCTGGTTGTTTTCTGGAGTTTCTGTGCTGCAGTTTTAAAGGCCTCAATTCATCTTTTTCGGTGCCCATGTGGTTGAGCTGTCTGTTTCGTTGTGGTTGCCCATCTCGGTTTGTTGGGTCCTAGTCAGAGCATGTGATCTGCACGCTTCCCGTCTTTGGGAGCTATTCAGAGTTCCACCACAGGCCTAATGTCACGATTAACCTTGGGTGCCTGGAAAGATGTATTTTCTGTTTGCAACATCAGGAATCTGTTACCTTTCTAACCAATTAGTTTCATTTTTTTAAAAAGCAAAACAAAAGAATTAACATGAAAGCATTTAAAATAAAGAAAATACATGGCATGCTGAGAGAAGTAAAAAAATAAGACCAAAGATTTACATTATAATATCAAACATAAAATGGTTCACTGGTGTGTTACAGGAGTGACTTGCAGATTGGTCAGTGAACAAGACCCAACCTTCTGAGACCTAAACACGTGACAGAAGCAAAGCCACTCACGGCCGTTGGGTCCAATGAAGATGTCTGTCATTAGACCCTCATGTGCCAAGTACAGTAGACAAGCACCAAAATATAAAAGGCAAAAACCGAAGGATAATAGAAAAAGACCAGAAACTTAGTTGTAGAGACTAACTCTAGCATATCTTTCTCAAAGTTTATTTTCTCTCTCTTATCTTTTTTTATATTATTGTTTGCTCGGAACTTCACCTGGTTTGACATCATTCCCCTGCCCATTGGTAACTAACCCACCACAGAGTAGCCTGCCTCTTGTTGAACATGATAGAAATGGAACCAGAGAGTATGCTTTCTTTGCATCTGGCTTCTTTCACTCATCCTTATGTTTGTGGGATTCACTCATGATGTTGTATGTGTCAGTAATTCATCCTTGTTTACTATTGAGTAGTATTTTATTGTGATAATTGATCACAATTTATTTATCTATTCTTGTGAGTGTTTTTTTTCTTCCATTTGGAAATAGGAATAAAGCTGCTTTGTACATATCTTTGGGCAGACATACGTATTTTTTCTGTTAGAAATATGCCCAAGAGTGACATTGTGGTCCATCAGTTGTGCACATGACTTGCTCTAGCAGATAGCACCAAATAGTTCTCCAACGTGACGTGCTAATGGCACTCTCACCAGCTGCTACTCTAGTTGGAAGGTTCCAGTTGCTCCACGTCTCTTCCAATGTATTGCATTGCTGGTCTCTCAGATGGTCGGCAGTCACCGCGTGCAACAATCCTTTGAAACAGTGTTATCTCCATTGTCTAATGTAGAAACAGCGGTGAGGTTAGCTCACGCAGGCAGGGTCGTGGAGCAGGGGCATGTGACAGTGTGTCCAGCGCTAGCCCTACATTCCAGGTCACCGCATTGCCTAAGAACCTTCAGGGGTCCTGGTTGTCCAACACACAAAATCCAAGTTTCTCTTCTGAAAGTTCAAGTCCTCTCCCAGCTGCTTCTGCTCACCCTGTGCTAGTCACTGGGAAGTAACCCTGAGGCACCAAATGTCTCATTCAATCCTCACAACAACCAAATGAAATAGCTCTTGTTACAATCCTTGCTTTACAGAGTTGGGACTGGAGGTGTAGGGGGAAGGGACTGGGCCAAAGCTACACTGTCAGTAAGAGGCAGAGGCACGATTCAAACCAGAAACCACTCTCTGAACCTGATCGCTGGTATTCCTCTGGAAATCAATATTGCGCTCTTAGGACCTGGGGAAAAGCCCGGTGTGGGGGCCCCAGGAGCAGTTTCTCTCTGCTGCCTGCTCAGCCCATACCAAACCCTTGCAGGATCCAGTTTAAAATTAGGTTTCTAGCTGCCCCGTGCCCATTGCCTTTCTTTCTATAAGTAGGCTTGAGTGTTCTAGTATGAGGCTCAGTCCCAGGCACTCGGTATCTACTTGTTAAACAGGATGTCTGGCGCATGCACATGGGCCAGGTCTAGAAGCAGCTCCTGGGAAATGAGGCAGCCATGGATGGGAGGGGCGGGGCTGAGCAACTGGCCAGGGGAGGACCTGACCTCCACTTAGCGCAATCACAGGAGCAGGCTGAGCACCCTCCGTCTGGTTGTTGGCTTGGCTCTGCAGGGTGGGTCAGTTTTCGATTTGCAGGCTGTCCATCACGCTAGGGCAGGCCCTGAGGCAGCAGCTGGACAGTCTGGGGCTGGAGCCAATCTCCAGACAGAGTGACTTGGCACAGCCGTTTTAGGGAGCTGAGCTCCGGAGACACTCGTGTGCAGCCAGGATGGACACTCAGCTGTGTGACCGAGGCCAGGTTATGGTGGTGGTGGTGTGGAGGCTCCCAGGTCCCTCTGGGGACTGGGTGTTGGCTCAGTAGATGATCGGTTCCAGATCCCTGGCTGGTGGGGAGGGGGCTCCTCAAGTTCTGCCAGTCCTGGGAGCACATAAGCCAAGGCAGGGTCTAGCGCTGGGAGCAGACAGCTGGGCTCTGAAAGGCTGAGGCCGACCCTGATTGGCAAATTCCCCGAGCACAAAGGTCACACCGAGTCTTTAGAGGCCATTGGACATACAGGAAAGAGAGGCAGGGTCACAGCGCCTGGCTCGGCTCCTTACCCACCGGGACCTTGGCAAGCTCTGACCGCTCTGCCTGTCTTCCCATCCGGGAAGTAGGGGTAAATGCGGGCCTGCCTCAGAGGGTGGTGAGAGGTGAAAAGAGAGTGTGAAGCCGCAGACCAATCCTGTGCATGTGAATCCCTTCCCCGGGTGGTGCCAGGGCCCGTGTCAGTCGTCTAGGGGCCTTGCAGTGAGGTGTCTGAGAGTCTCGGAGAGCAGGTCTCCTTCCTAGACTCCCAACCCTCGGGCTCCCACACACGCCTCACCCAGTGCCTCTCAGCCCCCGACAGGCCTTGGAGACGGCACCGGGGAGCACCAGTTCCCGGCCAGCGTGCTGCAGTTCCTGGGCCAGGTGCACAGCGCCTACCCCCAGGACCCCGCCTGGCGGGCCCCGGAGTTCCTCCAGACCTTGGCCGTCGTCACCTTCCCACTGGGAACAAACAAGGTAGGACACGCCGCTCCCCTGCCCCAGTGAAATCAGGGGCGAAGGGTGTCATCCCTCAAGAGCAAAGGGCAAGATTGCTGCCGCCCCCAAATAAGAGGCATTTAAGGCGATGTGGCCGGAACAGTGAGTCAGCAACTTTTCCTTTCTCAGCTGGGATGCAGCTTGAGGTCATTTAAACTCAGATTCAGTCATTTTTTTCAAGTTGTTAGGAACCTCAGTCATTTGATGGCAGATCACGTCCAATTCTATATGGAATTCCCTCCCACTGATAATGCGAAACAACAGACTGCGTCCCCAGTGGGTGCGTGTGGGCCAGACCCAGTGGGTGGGTGTGGGCGGACCGGAGGCCAGTCCTCCTCTGCTTTTTGTCCTCAGAGCCCTCCTCCAGTCTGCAGACCGTGACTCGGGACTCCTTGAAGTCAGAGGGCGGCTGGGGGCAGAGGGATTGACTGGGCCTTGCGGACGAGGTGTGAGTGTGGGGGTAGAAGATGCTCTGGGAAGAGATGTGAGAGAGTTTGAGGCAGAGCTAGGCCCAGGGACGCAGTGAGAGTCTGGGAGCCGAGAGGAGCAGGTGATGACGGGCGTGAAGGGCAGAGGCCTGCTGGTCACCCTTCTTGATGGTGTAGGAAGCTGAGATGGACAGGGAACGGGAGCTAGTGACACAGTCTACAAGGCTGTCACTGCAGCGAAAGGCACGGCTGCAGGGCCCGGAGGGTAAGGAGGGCGAGTGCAGGCAGGCAGTGTTTGCTCCACGAGTGTTCGCTGAAGGACCAGGTGAGCGAGCGGAGTGTGTGCACCCTGACAGCCTCCACCCACTGGACACCCACAACAGCCCTGAGCCCGGCGCTTCCCACCCCGCTTTTCACCCCGTTGGCAGCCTGCGCGGTGGTGTGTGTTAGTCGGGGGCGGGGAGGGGATGGGGAGAGTCACAGCAGGGACACGGTGCTGGCAAGGTCCTGTGGGCTCAGTGGGGGGCTTAGGACCTAGCCTAGCCTGCAAAACGCTGAGAGTGGAAAACATCACGGTTTCGTGATTACTAAGTGATGAGCCAAGATTTAAACCTCACCCATCTCTTGCCATAGCCCCTTTCCTACCCCCAACACTCTCACCATAAAGCCCATACCCTTTCTATCGCCATCAGTTTAAAATCAAATCAATGGCCAAATAAAATTCAGGAGTAATTTGTTTAAATAAAAGACTAAATATAAAGACTAGATTTGCAAAAAGATAAAATGGTTTGTTGGGTAAATATCAACTAAAGTGATACAGCAGACAAGTAAGAGTAGGGAAAAAGATGCACTGGAGGGGTGGGGGATCGGACCCCAGCCTCCGAGGCTGGGCAGGGAGGAAGGACAGCCCTGCAGGCTGACCCTCACCACCCCCCAAGCAGGTCCCCTGGAGGTGGCCAGAACCCTGAAGTACTGACAAGTTTAGCCTAGGTCCCCTCCTCTCCCCGCCACAGTGGGCGAGCTTACCCTTTGCTGAGTCGGGGTTCCAGCTGGCTGGCTCTTCCTCCCCTGTTCAGGGTCTCTGCCTGGGGGCGGGTCTGGCCCAAAGTCACCTCCCCGGCCGAGATCAGATGAGCCAGGCTCTGACGTGGGCCCCTGGCTCCACTTCCAGCACATGTGTCTCCACACCTCCTTTGCGTGTCCCGGTTCAAGTCTGCTCCAGAAGGCCTTTGTTGCACAGAAAATGTGACAGATCCACTTCATGCAGAAAGCTGGTGGCCAGAGCCTGCGGCCTGCTGTAAATTTATATGGCGTCTTTCCCTTTTGAGGCCACGTAGAGCTAATTAATGTGGCCACCACCTCCCTAGGTGCCATTAAATCCATTTTATGGCTTAATTAAGAATGGCCACATTAATTTTATGAATGTGCAAAGGGAGGTGCCAGCAGATGAATGCTCTTGGAATGTCACTGGCAGGAACTGGAAGTCCCTGGCTGTGTGTCCTTGGGCATGTCATCCGCCTCCCAGCATCTCTGTTTTTCTGACGTGGCTGGGCTAATGGTGCCTGCTTCATTAATCTCCCTGTATTTTTATAAGTAAAAAATGAGCATGTGAAGGCCGGTGCCTCAGGGACTTGGAGGCCAGGACTTGCTGAAGCCTAGCACCTGTTTCCCCTGAGGGTCCTCCTGTCACCATCACCACAGCCTGGCTGGCAGGACATGGGCCCCAGGAGGCGGGCCCAGCTGATGACGATGTGCAGGGCAGACACTGTGGCCTGCATGACTCTCTCATTGGAGCTCACCCGTCTCTGTGGCGTCCCTTTCGTATCTCCATTTGCTGCTGAGAGCTGCGGCTCTGAGGAGGAGGGCCTTGCCCAGGACACGGCTGGGCTTCTCTGCTAAGCCCTCAGGCCACGCTAGCTCCACGCTCCGCTTCTCTCCAGGACTCCACCTCCCTTGGGTTCAGGGACAGAGCAGGCACCCTTATGAGCCATGAACTCTGGGCAAGCCACCTACTTCTGCAGATCCTCAATTTCCTTGCATGTTAATGTGTTTGATCAGAATGTCACCCAGGCACCCCTCAGCAATAGATAGGAAAGCACGTTGAGGCAGTGCAAGCCACTCACACTGGGGTTCTCTTGTCTTTGAGGGGGTCACCACTGAGTTCGCCCAGAATGCCAGCAGCCCTGGGGCCGAGGCTGAAGGTGAGGGCATCGTGGAGGGTCTACAGGCTCCTGCCAAGTCCCACCCCACACGGAAACAGCTGAGGGTGTTCATGCAGCTCCTCTTGAGGGATCTCCTGCTTGCAGCTCCCAGCCCCAAGCAGTGGCTGCCGCTGGAGGTGCTGCTGGAGGTAAGTGCACAGCGGACTGCACTGTGGGAGGCCCAGCACCGCGAGGGGGATGTGCAGGGAGACCTGAGGGCTGATCTCTTGCGAGAACTGGCTCATAGTCAAACAGCTCCTGGGAAAAGCGCTGTGGAGGGAGGGAGTCCTCCAGGACCTGCAGGCCCTGGCAGAGCAGGGAGCAGTGAGTGAATAGATGACCGAAGGCAGGTCTTGCAGGTTCCTAGCAGCAGAGCCTGGTGCAGGGATTGAATAGAAGTGATTTCTCAGGGCTGTTCTCGCAGGGAAGGAGAGAAGGGATGCCAGGAGGACGAGGGAGAAGCTAGCCAGGAAATGGTCTCAGCCACAGATTGGCCCCAAGGGGAGCACTGGTGTGCTATCTGCATCCCAGTGGTGGCCCCACCTTGAGGCACCTGCCAGGCGATCATTGTTGGTGGGCCACCCTGACTTGCCTTCTCACCTCAGGAGGTGGGCATCGCCTCCTGGGTGAGCCAACTTGGTCAGCAGAAGGCAGTGCCTTGGAGAAGGGGCAGGTGTGAGCTGTTGGCAGCCCACACTCCCAGCAGCTGTGGTATTAGCACACCGGCCAGGCAAGGGGACTCGGTAGGCACTGAGTGGGCATGATGGCCGGGTGGCTACTGTCTGAGTTCTGGGTGTGATTCCAGGCTTCTCCAGACAATGCCACCAGCCAACAGAAGCGAGACTTCCAGTCTGAGGTCCTGCTCTCCACCATGGAAATATTTCACATGATGAGAGGAGGTGACGTGTCGATGCTCAGAGGTGAGTGGGGTGACTTGCTCGTCACTGCTATGACACAAGCTGCTGACAGCTGAGCAGGAGAGCCGTCTCCTAGAGGAGGCCTGAGTCCTCGTGCTGCAGGACACCTAGGAGCGCGGAAGATGCTCTCCGCAAAGCTGCAATAAGAGCTCACTAGTCCTGCCTGGGGACCCCGGGAGCGCATGCTCACTTCTTTCCATGGCATCTGCACCACCGTGGGCCACTCGGAGGCAGAAAGGCCTCTGCCCTCTGAGCTAAAACCACCTCTCCTCCACCGTCAGTAGAATTGTGTCCTCTTCCCATCAGGGAAGCTGAGATGTCAACTGCAGTTCAGCACCCTTCTGCTCGGCGAGGGCCACTCGGAGGCAAAAAGGCCTTCTGCCCTCTGAGCTAAAACCACCTCTCCTCCACCTTCAGTAGAATTGTGTCCTCTTCCCATAAGGGAAGCTGAGATGTCAACTGCAGTTCAGCACCCTTCTGCTCGGCATCTTTGCACCTATGCCTGGGCACAGCAAATGTTTCTTAAACAAATGAACCCGGGTAAAGATGCTGCATTGCCTCTAAGAGGTTCAGGTTGATGCTTCATTCATAAGCCTTAGTTCCAGGGCAGCCACACCTTCCTGATGAGTTTAAACATAGTCCTTTCTGTGGTCTCTGAGCCATGAATTCCTCAGTGACACAACTCATCTCTGGACTCCTCCTTGCCTCACAGCATGGACACTCTGGCTACTGGCCTTTCTCCTGGAGTATCTGCAGTGTGGCAGATAGGGGGTGGAAGGTGTGAGCTTGGGATCCCAGCTCTGCTCTTGGCTGTCACTGGCTGTGGTGTGACTGCGGACAGGTGCCTGAGCCTGTGGGTGAGGACAGCAGGACAGCAAAACTCGGAGGGTTGTTATTAGGACTAGCTGAGATTAGAGCATTCACATCTGAGAACAAGGCCTGGTGTGTTGGTGAGCATGGACAGATGACCCACATTACAGCCTCGTCCTCTGCCTGACGCAGCAGGGCCTCAGGTCACCATACAGTCTTCAGCGCCCGGGGTACACAGAGGGCTACAATGGGTATGAAGAGTGAGTGAGATGTAGGTGGTGACCTGGTGTGTTGGTGAGCATGGACAGATGACCCACATTACAGCCTCGTCCTCTGCCTGAGGCAGCAGGGCCTCAGGTCACCACACAGTCTTCCTATTTGCCTTATGCCTCAGTGTGCCCCCACCCTCATTCCAAATGGCTGCTGGAAGAGGCAGTGCCCCACACTTGCTCCCTCTCCACTGGGTTATATCACTGACTACATTGTTCAAGGCCAATTTATTTGAATAGGTGGGTCTTCATTGGACACCTGTGGGTAAGCCCCATCTTCAGCGCCCGGGGTACACAGAGGGCTGCAATGGGTATGAAGAGTGAGTGAGATGTAGGTGGTGACCAAGAGGGATTGGAGACTGTTGTGGAAAGAAGGCCACTCAGACTCTGAGGATGTCTCAGGCTCCGTCTGTCTCCTCACCTGACCTTAGGCGATAAGGAGCCTCAGCCAAACTCAGAAGCTGCTGCTGCTCCTTCACTCACGATCATCACCCACTTCACCCAGAAGCTGGTAGAGAAGCTGTACAGTGGAATGTTCTCAGCAGACCCCAGGCACATCCTGCTCTTCATCACGGAACACATCATGGTGGTAAGAACCCCGCTGGCCATGGTGGTGTAGAAACTGCCGACCGGTGTCCGTCTGACGTGCTGCTGCTGTGCAGGTGGTCCGACCGACCTGCGGTCCTCCCTGGAAACGGCCTGCGATGTGTGGGAGGAAGGAGCAGGACCTTCACAGCCCCGGCCGTACCTGGTGGCTGTGCGGGTCCTGCGGGCTCTCCCTCAGGCCACCGGAGGTCCGTCTCAGTGGTCAGGAGCCACGGTCCCCTATGCTGGCACCTGAGCTCTGTCCCCCTCTAGACTCTATTATGATTGTTAGTTTCATCTTAATTGTTATTCTTCATCAACAAAGAAAAGGGCAGAAAGGTCTTTATCTTCAAAAGTCCCATTTCATTTTCCGCTTTAGCGTCATGCTTGGGCCTTCCTGAAATCGAGACAAGAGTCTGTTTGTACCGAGCCCTGTTTTTCTTGCATGTGTACTCTCTCTCAGATAGATCCACAAACACACCCCTATATGCAAATGCGTGCAGTAGGTCCACCCTTAGGTGTAAGTGTGTGTACATGTGCACAGCTTCTTTACACATAGACTCACACGATCTCAAAATTCTAGAGCTGAACTCTTTTTGGGTTCTTTTCCTTTCATCCTGGAAACCTTTCCATAAGTGGCCATGCGCTCTCTCCTCGAGGGCCCTGCTCGAGGAGCTCACCGCGGTCCACGGTGGTCCCAGCCGGTGGGACGCCTGCGGTGGTGAGGAAGCACTTTCTCTTGTCAGCACCTCCTGCCCTTGGTGTGTCCTCTGCCGAGGAACCCAGGAGGGCCCCCTCCTTCCCCTCGTGCCTCCTGGGGAGAGTGCAGTTGGCAGCCCCAGCGCCCCTCTGTCTGGGAGCTGCCTGTAGACCCCAGGACTGCTCCTGGGTGACAGCCAGGCTGAAACGCAGTGCTGGACCAGGCTGAAAGTGATGTCTTCAGAGCTCTTTGCAAGAAGAACTCCAAAGGGAGCAGTAGCCCTGCCAGCTCTGAGAAGGTTAAAATTAGATCCTTGGGAAATAAAATTAGAGCCTTCATTCAGTTGCTTTAACAAAGTCACAGACTGGGTGGCTGAGCAGCCAGCAGTGACGCCTCATGTTCCCGAGGCTGAGAGCACAGGCTCAAGGGGCAACAGGTCTCCTGTCTGCTCAGGGCCTCATTCCTGGTTTGCAGTTGACCATCTTCATATTGTCCTTACATGATGGACAGAGAGGAAGAAACCTCTCGCTGGTCTCCTCCTGTCCTTACAGGAATCCCACCACGAGGGCCGTAGCCTCCTGACCTAGTCACTCCCCCAAGACCCCATCTCTCATACCACCCACTGGGGATTAGAGTTTCAACATATGAAGTTTGGGAGGGGCCACCAACGGTCAGCCCACAGCAGCTGCCAATGGTCCAAGCGAACACTCGGAGCTAATGCCTCAGAGTGGGTGCGGCTGGGGCTGATGTGCCTTCAGGGTGTTAGGCCCGAGGACTCTCAGTGCTGCCCACATTTGCCATCCTTCTCTCCTGCTGGTGGCGCTCATAACTCTTAACCTCCGTTTGAAAGATGTGACGGATCTGAGAAGCAGAAGACAATGATAAAAATATGAATCTCAAATTACAGCATATTTAAATAAAACTAATTTCGTTAGTATAAATAATCACAGTACCCATAAAATTCTAAGAGAGCAATCTATAGCTAATGAATGACCTTCTAATAGACTGGAGGTTTTGCACACATTTTTTGTTTTATGAATTCTTTTTGATGAAGCCAAGTAAATGGATGGACCAATTAGTGTTAAGGCTGCAAACCAGGAGCCCCTACCTTCCCACCCAAGTTTCCCATGTGGGCCCCCTCCTTCCCCTTGTGCCTCCTGGGGAGAGTGCAGTTGGCAGCCCCAGCACCCCTCTGATGGTACTTGGCTTTTTGATGAAGCCAAGTAAATGGATGGACCAATTAGTGTTAAGGTGCTCCTTCAGATGGTTCGGTGGCTCAGAGAGGGTCAAGTACCTGGTGTGAGTTCGATCCTTGCTGACCAGTTAGCCTCTTTGACCCTGACCCTCGTTATCTCTAAAGTGGGATAATCTTAGTGCCTACTTCATCCTTCTGTTAGGATGCTTAAATGAGGCGATGTGTGGAACCCAGTGCAAAAATGCTTAGCATGGTGCCTGCAATACTGTACTAGTAAACACGCTGTACAGTTAGTGACATGTTTTAATTAGGCACTATTAATAGTATGTTCTAATACACCGAGGGCCAACCTTCTTACCTATATTTCAGAATTCTCTGGTCCCCTGGCTATTTTCCATAATATGACTGTGGTATATTTAACATTTTTACACCAAATTTTGGTAAATCCAATGATTTGAATTGCCTTTATTGATCACTCACTTAAATAGAAGCTCAAAGGTAGAGACCATTGTCCCATTTGACTTTTAGATCCTACCAAATTTTGAAATACAGAAAAGACTGAGCTTGTATCATTTTCACAGTTAACGGGGTCCGTTCCTAAAACTGTACAGTGCGCACAAGCAGGTCTGTGTGTGTTTATTTCATGACCAGGTCATTGAGAATGCCTCCTCACAAAGGGACAGCACCATCAGCACTTTATACAGCAGCCTGAATAAAGTCATCCTGTACTGCCTTTCCCAGCCCCAGCAGTCCCTCTCCGAGGGCCTGGGCCTGCTCCGCGTCCTGCACTTCCTGCAGGAGCACTGGGACATCATCTTTGCCACCTACAACTCCAACTCCAGCTTCCTGCTGTGCCTCATGCACTGTCTGCTCCAGCTCAGCGAGGGGAGGTAAGACTCCAGGAGCCGCTCACGTGCCCACTGCGGTCAGGAAGAAAGGAACCTGCAGAGGGGCCCTGCTGAGGACAATAGAATGACAGAACCCTTTTGTCGATCTGGTTGTCTGAGTTATGTGCAATGTTTATAATATGGTAGGTCTTCCTCAAACCTGTCCGTATGACTGAGTGTCTAGAATCATCGTAAAATAATAATTTACACTATCTCCACAATTCTTAGGTTGTAAGATTCTTCATTGATTTATTTTGAGGGCAGGAAACCCCAACATTAAATATGCACTTTGATTTTATGATGCAGGCAGATTTCAGGAACATTAACATTTGAGAAACCATAGAATGGAAAAACATAAAAGAAATTGTATTATATAAGCCAGGAATAATTTTGCTTACAGACTAATATATATAGACAATTCATGATATAAAATAACAACCATAACTACACTTGTGTAAGAAATACCAATAACAAAAACTTTATCTCACTTAATCCTTTCCTTGAAGCCCCACATTTGGGAACATTTGGATTTCTCTGTGCACATGCACTTGCTCTCTGTGTGTGGAGTGTGTGTATCCGGGCATCACCAGTGCCTGGTGCCATGCTGCCTGCAACTGTTACCTCATCAGTGGAGAGCCATGCTGAGTGCAGAGCCAGAGAGGACTGTGGGATATTCCAGTTTGCTCTTGTCCTTGATTGTATTTGTCCCAGTACAAGTTACGTACAAATTCTGGCGAAAAGGATCCCCAAATCCTGCCGAGTTGACTACTGAACATTACAAAACAGTTACTCTCTGGGAAGCACTGGAAAATGCTCCCAGCGCCCTGGACCAGAGGAGGCACCTGCCTTTTAGTTTGTTTGCAATAAAAGCATCCACTGTCAGTGTGTGGGTTAAATCCGGAGGCCTTGCTTCCTGTATTTGAGAACTGGCTCCTGTCCATACTGAAGGTGTAGGTGATAGAACGAGGTGCCGGCTGCATGTGTGCTTGAAGTCCCGCCCTCAGAACATCCTCTGTTTAGAAAGGGACTCCAAGATCCAAAGGGACTTCATCTAGAAATTTCAAGAGTGGACAATTGTCATATGCTGTATTTTTTCATTTTTTTTATTTGTCATTTTTGGTTCAATCCGAAAACATGTACTGAGTGTATGTTCTGCTTGGTGGGCTGAGGGACCCAGACGAGAGGACACATAGATATTGACATGACCAGGGGCCTGGAGCACACAGCTCACGGGGAGCCTAGTATGTAAACCACCACGCCCCACTTAGGACCGACTCCAGGACGTGTGGGCCCGGCAGAGTGCAAATGAGGGCCCCTTCTTCAGAAATGACTGTGGTAACAGAGGAGTCCAAGCATGGGGCCCTTCGAGTGTGGGCCCTGTCATACTGCGCCGGCCACAGGCCCCTGGCGCTGGCCCAGCCCCATGCCAAGCAGGATGAGGTCAGGGCCACTCAGAGGCAGAGTTCAGTGCTGTGGGGAGTCTGCAAAAAGAAATGACGGAGTCCAACGATGGGGAAACCGGGAGAGGGTTCACGGGGGTTTGCTGGGAGCACGGAGTGGCTTTAATCAGACAGGAATAAAAGGCTGGTGTGTTTCCCCTTTGCCAGGATGCTATTGTATGATAGCTGTCGTGGACGTTGTCATACACTCTTTGCTTGAACTTCCCCTGAGGGATCCCGGACTGTGAGAGGGTGCAGTCCGGGCTGGGGGACCCTCCCAAGTGCATGAATTTTCGTGCACCGGGCCTTTAGTTTGTAATAAAGAACAATAGTGCAATCCCAAAGAACTGAATTTCATAGGGAAAATCTCTTGTCTGCTAGTTATCCTGAAGGATTTGGATTGGAACCCAAGCCTAGAATGACTCCTTACCATCAAGTGTTTCTTTCTCCAAATGAAGACATGAGAGAGAAGAGAGTGGATGACTCCCCAAGTTTGACTGATGGTACATTTTATTTGCTGTTTATTTGGGGGGAAGTAGATGGACAGTGATAACTGCTAGGGTTGCATTCTTCAGTGTATCTTTCCCAAGATGAGGAAACATGTACGAAGGAGACATTCAAAGGCCAGAAAAAGCCCTGAAAAATCCCAGAATGATGTAGTATTAAAGCAGGATAACCTGATGGGGAATAAAATTGGAGTGATTTTTGCATATTAAAAATGGAATGGCATGGGTGGAGGGATGGATGGAAGAAGAGAGAGCTCTAAGGGACTTGGTTCGACTAAGAACCAGAGGACCTCACACTAAGTTGATTTCCCATCTCAGTGGGTCTCTTGAGTTTTCCTTTGGGCAACTAGATAGAGCGACTGGCATGCCATCCCAGTTCAAGCTGTTACATAGCTGTCTCTTCAACTTTCTTCCCTAGAAAAATAGGGATAGAGGAAATAAACTCATTTCTTTCATGAAATATTTGGCTTAATGGAGGGTATGTTTGGACTTGCTAGCATCATGTCAAGTTAAAGGGATTGGCAGTTTGTAAAAGAATAACTAGCCTTTGGATCCATGTGCTTGAGAGAGTGCTCCTCCGGGCCAGGAGGCCCGAGCAGACCCCCTCCCACCACGCTGGCTTGCTGCCACTTACAGGGGATAATTTGTGATACTAGAGGTAGGCACGGGAGCCTGTGTTCTGGTTAGATCGGTACCCAACGTTGGTGCTCAAAAATCGTGTGAATTTAAATTTTACTCTCACAGTGTTAATGACAGCATGAACATTAGCACTTAGGGACTTAGCTGGCAGAGTGGACTGAGCAATGTCCATCCCCTGAGGCTGAAAAACAGACAGTAGAGGCTGGTACAGAGGGGGGACCCAGGGGCCCATGGTCAGAGGGACTTTAGGCACCACCATGGGGTGACAGTTGTGGGGCAGAGCAGGCAGGGCGGCGTGGTAGATTTGTACATATCTGGGCAAATGCAGGTGCTGAGATGGGTGGCTGGTGGGGACCTTGAGCCAGTTCAGGGGAGAGGACTGCCTTGGGTCCTGGCCCCAGGGCACAGTCTGAGTTTGGGTGTCCATCCCTCTGAGAGGCTAATATAGGACAGGTTGGAGGAGTTTTCTGGGGGAAGCAATTCGGTTACCGAGAGCTCTCACAGGCACAGCTGTTTGGCATCTAACAGAATCGGGAGGTGAGAGAAAGGTTCCCTGGACCCATCAGTCACGATTCCTAGCTCTGGACATGTAGGCTGGCAGGGCGTGGTGGTGGGAAGTTAGATGCAGGGAGGGCCAGCTCACATAGATGTCGGTAGCATTGCAGAGCCAGGATGATGTTCAACAGGATGTGAATGAAAGCAGGGCCGGTGGCCCTCTCCAGAGGCGTCCGATGACGCGCCCTCTCTCTCAGTCCAGCACAGCATCCAGAGGACCGTGCACGCTCTCTGGCAGCAGCTCATGGCGCAGAGATGGCAGGAGCTGGAGGACACCTTCAAGATCGATCTCTCCGTCAAACCCGGGGAGAGAGAAGTGAAGATGGACGAGGTCACCCCGCTCTGGGAGGAGACGATGCTCAAAGCCTGGCAGCATTATCTAGGTCTCTGTCACTGGGTCCAGGCTTCCCCGGTTCCCTGGGCCGGGCCTCTTCCACCAGCCTTTCTCCCTCATCCTTCGGGGTGGGGTTCGCATTATGGAACCCTCGTGAATCCTGGCTCACAAAGGTTAAACGCTGCTTTGCATCGAGGGTGAAGGGAAGACCAGAGGTGCCAAGCAAGTGAGAGATTCTAGAAATCTAGATGGGAGGGCCACCACGTCCGCGCTCACCCGGGGCCGCACTTGGGGGTCTAGGTCCTGCCCTGACAGTCACCAGAGCTTTGTCCTGCCCTGACAGTGCAGCCACCAGAGCTTTGGTTCCTGCGAGTTCCAAGTGGAAGTGTTCATCCCAAAGATATTAGTGTCCCTCGCATTCTATCAACGATGCCACGTTTTACCCTCATGCTCATCAGTGCGACCGTGAGAACGATGTTCTCATTTTGTTTTTAAAGAGGCCATTGCTGTCAAATTATGGCTCATACGTGTTTTACGTCTCCCAGCATCCCCGAGGTCGCAGCCAGTGAAGAGCTGGTTATGTCCGGGTGTACAGTCCCGGCTCCTGGCGGTACAGCACCTCTTATTTCACTGGCTTCCCCCGCCAGCCCTGGCCAGTGTGTGTGTACATACATGTACACTTTGAAGTCAAAATGTCAGGCTCTATTTCAGAGAAAAGTTCACTTAAACAGGACACGTTTACCCTCTTATTCACAGGTACACAGCGTGGGAACCATGGTGAGCTGGACCGTACTGCTCACAAATGACTCTCTTTTTGCCAACAACCATATTTTTGCAAACTTTCTATGTTTCAGGGCCTGTGTTTTAAACACATAATCTTATTTACTCTCCACGACACCACAAGGAGATCAGATACTCTTATTCCCATTTCACAGAGGAGAGCACTGAGGCTTAAGAACTTTAGCTAACTTGCGCAGCAGTCAGTGACCTGTGGAGCCAGGGGTCTAAGCCGGGCGGGATGCGGAAACCCGTCCCGTATTTCGTAGTCAGAAGCCGGCGATGTGAGCTGCAGCCTGGGCTGGCCCCTATCGCAGCGCTGGCTGGCATCTGAACGCCCAGCAGCTGTAGAGACAGTGTGTGTCTCCTCTCAGTTCCCCTCTGACAGTCTTTGCTTCCCGGTCCCCAGCATCTGAGAAGAAATCTCTGGCCAGTCGCTCAAATGTCGGACATCACAGCAAAGTCACTTCGTGGAGTGAAAGCTTGTCCTCGGCCATGAGGCTGATCCCGGGGCGGCAGGCCAAGGACCCCGAGTGCAAGACAGAGGTGAGCCACACCCCTTTCCTTAGAGATGCTCGGCATTTTCTTCAGACCCCAGGAGCCACGCCCCTCTCTCTGTTGTCACTAGACAAATCTAACTCCATGCTCCTCCGCGCTCTCCCGGGCGCTTGTGGCTCCCCAGCTGAGGCCGCTTCCGGGGAGCCAGGTCTTGGGCTTTAACTTCAAGTGCACACGCCTCTCCTTGAGCACCAAGAGCAGGTGTTCCTCATGACATTAAAAACCAAACGGAACTGCGACCCCTGCTCCTTGTCATGTGTGCACAGGCAGCGCTGGCCCACAGCTCAGCGGGCACTGGGTGTGTGGGCTCAGCGAGGGGGACAGGACACTGGCACTGTCCCTGGCATGCAGGTTAGAGCCTCCTCTTAGGTGGGGCTGAGGCATTAGGGCTTTCTAATTCGTTTCTCCAAGGTTGTGTGGTACCAGCAGTGAGTTTGTGCGATCATGAATACTGTGGAAAGGGATTTGGAGCATAGCAGGTTCCGGGGGTTTCTCTCCTCCCAGATGTCTGGGCCTTTTGCTCAACTGGTGGTTGCTGCTGACTTTAGGCTGAGACCTGAGCTGAGGCTGCTGGTCTGCCCACCTACAGCTTCTCCAGCTGTCCCGGGCTTCCGTGCAGGCTGGTGGCTGGGCTTCCAGGACTAGCTTTCGTGGGGAGGGGGAAGAAGGGAGAGAAGGAAAGAGAGAGAAAGGGAGAGATAGATAGATAGAGAGAGCCTTCTATGACCTCACTTTGGAAGCTATGCAGCATCAACTCTGCCGGGTCCCTTTGGCTGAGAGAGGCACAGAGTTCTGCCCAGGTTCAAGGGCAGGACTACCTTCTGGTGAGGAAGCGGCAAGGTTCTGCGAGAGCGTGCAGGCTCTTTTTGGGAAACACATACACTGAGTGGCCAGATTATTATGACCACCTGACATTTGTAGGCAAATTAGCTATAATTTCCCACTGAAGTTGCTAGAGGGCCAGATCATTATAAATGTGGGATGAATGGCACAACATACCTAAGTATCATTGCTGATCAAGTTCATCCTATCATGTTGATGGCGTATCCCAATGGAGATGGCTTCTTCCAACAAGACAATGCGCCATGCCACGGTGCTCGTATTGTGCAGGAGTGGTTTCAAGAACATGAGGGAGACTTTACCTTGCTTAGGTGGCCCCCACAATCACCAGATCTCAATCCAATTGAGCATTTGTGGGAC